ATGAAAATAGAAAGGCAACTTCGGAGAAGATCTATCTCTCGTACTTCAGTGCCTACATCTTCAAGATGGAGTCCAAACAATAGTTTGAGGAAGTCTACCCCTATTCCTACCAAAGAGAAGGCTGAATCATCAAATGCTTCCCAAATTAATAAAGAGAATCGAGGAAAAGAGATCCCTGAACGAACAAGAGACATACGTTGCTTTAAGTGTCTTGGGAGGGGACATATATCCACACAATGTCCCAACCGAAACACCATGTTATTACTTGGAAATGGTGAGATTGAATCTGACCATGAAGAAGAAGAAGCTGCACCGACACCAACAGAAGTTGAGGAAGAAACCGAAATTGGTGCTCCGGTAGAAGGTGAAGCCCTAGTGGTCAAGAGAAGTCTAAGTGCTCAAATAGTAGAAGACGATGCACAAAGGGAAAACATCTTTCATACCCGCTGCCATGTGAAAGAAAAGGTGTGTTTCATGATCATAGATGGTGGAAGTTGTACTAATGTTGCCAGTACCATCATGGTGGAGAAATTGGGATTGCAAACGTTGAAACATCCAAATCCCTACAAATTACAATGGTTAAATGAACGAGGAGAACTTAATGTCAACAAACAGGTGATGGTTCCTTTCTCTATTGGCAAGTACAAGGACGAGGTTATGTGCGATGTTGTTCCTATGCATGCTAGTCATTTACTCCTTGGAAGACCATGGCAATATGATAGGAGGACCATTCATGATTGTTTTACTAATCAGTATTCATTCAACCATGGAGGGAAGAAGATCATCCTAACACCTTTGACGCCTAAACAAGTCCAAGTTGATCAAATCAAGATGAAACAAAGTGTTGAGGCCATGAGGAAAGGAAAATCGAAGTTAAACCAGGAAGAAAACATTCCAAAAACAAGTGCTTATACCTCTAAGTGCTTGTCACAAAGATGCCTATTAACAAGATGCAAAGTTGATGCTGATTTTTCTAACCTTAACCAAACAAAAGTTTCCTTTGATTTGCAGGATGAATCAAGCAACACAATCCATCAATTTGGTAAACTAAACGATGTGATCTTTCAAGAACCAAAAGGTGCGACTATTGAAGAGCAAAGAATGGTAACTCTTCATCCAAAGGACGTGACCCATCAAGAATCAAAAACATGCCTATTGAAAACCAAGGGAAATGATTTTTCATCCAAAGGGCGTGACTTATGAGGACATCACCATTCCAAGAGTCATCACCTTTCATGAATTAATGCAACTATCTATGGAAAGGGGCATGAATTTTGGAATACAAAAGGACATCAACATTCAAAGCCAAATGCCTTCAATAGACATGAACTTTGAATCTACATCTTTCAGGAAGTATTTCTTAACTTTAATTTTGTTTGATCACATTCATACTAATGAAAGTTTTATTTCTTTCCAGATCAAGAACTTACAAGGCATTCTTTCAAAAGATATGAATCTTTTTATAAAGGTACTTATCAATGGAATGACTCAAGGAAAGGAAGATCTTTCGATTTGAGGACAAATCGATTAAAAGAAGGGGAGGATGATGTGATCCAATTCAGCATCATGATTATCATGGCTATTCCACCCTTACAAGGGAAGAAACTTTCTAACTTTACATACATATATGTTTATTTCATAATTATTTCATACATATATATCTATGGTTATTATAATACTTAATCATTAATATATGAGATATAAGTTATTATATACTATAGTCCACATTATTATATAATACATTGTATAAGTTCATTTACTTAGTTTATTTCTTTATATTATGCGTGTAGGCACATTCGGCCAAGACTTGGGAGCTGCATTAGAGCTAAATGGAGCATGAAACAGCAAGGAAACTCACATAGGGATGCTTAAGAGATCATAAGGATTCATCGATGAAAAGTTGTTTTGAGGCTGCGAGCTCATAGCTGGATTGAGCTGAAGATTTGAGCTACAAGATGAACTCATTTCAGCTGGGGAGTTGCACCATCATCATCACCACTTAGGACACTTCAAATATGTCCTACATCAAAATTTGTGAAATCGTACCTTTTCGCGAATAGTTGCCATCTCAAGAGGTACCTTTTCACAAGGAGCTGCCCAAACGTTCATCATGTTACAAGTCATCTAAGGTCAGCTCACCACCAGCTCATTCACACCCGAAGTAGCTCAAACATGAAGGGTTACCTTTCTCAAACATTGTGACCTTTCATGAATGATGCTGCCCATGAAGATGCCTTTTCAACAAGGAACACATCGGTGAAGAGATCACGCCTATTGGATGCTTAAATCATCAAGAAACATGAGCTAGAGGCTCCATGCCTATTCGGCCACATCACATGCCATACACATGAGAGCCTTTTGGCGCCAAGCATGAAGAGACACACCACCATTCGGCCAAAGGGAGAAAATGGCGCCAAGATGAACCAACATACATATTCGGCCAAGGGAGATGTCTTCCCATCCTTAGCCGAATCATTAAGGCCTTTCATGAAGAGTTAGCCGAACCATCATAAGCCCAAAGGACTTATTCATTCATCTCAAGCATTATGTATTTTCCTAGAGACATGTATCTAGCCGAAACAACTTGTAATCATTCGGCCAAGCCCTCTCATTTCCTATAAATAGAGTGGCTTGCCATCATTGTACTCATCTCATCTCTTATATAAAACATACTCTTGTGAGTTATTTCTCTTCAAAGTTCTTTGTGAACTTTATCGATTAAACAAGTGTAGTTCCTATACTTGTGGCGTCATTCCTTCCATTTTGATTCCTAAATTCCTAGATTGTTATCTAGTGGGTTGAAGACACGATCACCACCCCTCAAGCAAGTTTGTGAAGACCGGGATTGTGCTTCATAGCATAGTTTCCTCTTTGGCGTGTTTGGGATACTAACACCACCATCTCCATTTCGTCATTTCCATCATCAACAACACCCATCAATCCATCAATTCCGCAGCCATCTCTATTCTTATTCTTTCATTCCATTACTTATATTATTATTCATTTCTTAAACCCATTATTAATCATATTTCTGTCTTATTATTTTGCAGCCCAAGCTTATTAATTCAAGGACATCAGTACTTGTCAATCCTAGATCGGGACACAATAAGGCTATCTACTCTTCTCACCAAAGTGTGTAGATTCGCCTTACATCACATGAGGCTCTTTCAAGGTCACTACAGAAACACCCAAGAGCTGTTTACTATCATTAAGGATGTGGTGCGATTCCAGCTGAGGGATAGGAACATAAATAGAAATGATAGCACTAATTCTACCCTTTGTAGACTTTGGAATATAAACTGCTCTTAATTCTTTTGTAAGTAAATTTTTTGGTAAACAGAACACTTCTGGTTTTGTAGCAGTTTTTGTTCTTGTTGTTGAACTTGTTCTTTGGATAATGAAACTGATTAATTTATCAAAAAAAAACCATGGACATCGACATCTATTATTCGTTTGCAGCGCTCTTTTCATAGATTCCAAATAATACAAGCAAATTGAGTTACTAACCTCTGGGATTTCATTGTAGTGTTGAGGTTGTCTTGAATCTAGCTTTTAACATCACGCGCAGGAGAATGATTTCTCCTTGGATCATAAGGCAAACGACTCCAAATACATTGAGCAGTTGTATAATCACGCAGGATGTATTCAAATCTTCAAAACAATGGCCACAGATAACGCAACTTGCAGTGGAATCCATTCCCCATGTAACTCGACTAGCGTTGGTAAGAATCTGATCACACCAAACAAGCCAGATGATGTACTGCCATTTAGAAGGCACTAGCATTTTCCAAATCAACAAAAGATTCATCTCCAAATAACATCCCTAGTAGTGAGGGCTACATAAGCAGAGCGTGTTGTAAAATTACCATTCGTCATATATCTCCAAATATACGTATCCTAAATGGTCGTAAATTCAGGGAGGGGGTAACCCATAACTTTTATAGCTGCATCCATAGGTAAAAGAGCAAAAACCTTGTTAATGTCCCAAAGATTGTCCTCTGTTAAGAAATCACTAACTTTAGCATTCATTTTAACAACGTTAGGAGAGATATCCTGGTCCTGAGAAAGAGGTCTTCCCAGCCAATTGTCTGTCCAAAACAACACCTCTTCTCTATTCCCAATTCGTCTAAAAAATCCAGCTCCAAAGCCCTACAATACGAAAACAATACTTTTCCAGGTGTGTGACCAGTGAGGGGACCTGTTTATGGGGTCAACTGCATATTTCAAAGGATCCCCACGAACTCCATAAGCTAATTTCATTGCCTTCACCCAAAGCATGTTCGGTTGGTTTAGGAATCTTTATGTGGATTTTAAAAGTAACACGGTATTGGAGTTTGACTCGAATCCAAAGTGGCACAAATTAATTAACATATAAATATTGAGAAAATATGAAATTCAATTTGATTAAAAGTAGAAAATTTTATTAAATAAATTTTTTACTTTATTTAATTTTCCTTAATTACTAATTAAGTATCTATCCTATAAATATAAACTAAGGGTTAGGGTTAGATATCAAGTTTTTATTTCACCAAAATACTATTGTATTTTCTTCCTTAATATTAGTAAAAATTTTCACATGTGGGTTTTTTCCTTTGGGTTTTCTACTTGGTGTTCTTTGTTTTTTTCTTTTCGATCGTGTTTATTTGTTTGTCAATAATCATCGTTCCGCTATTATAACACAAGACATTATGTTTTGCAAAAAAACGAAGCCACAAGCCTCTAAAACGTTTTAGTTTATAAACCTCGTCCCAGGCAACCAAATGTGTAACACGTTTCTCAGTATTTCCACCCCGTAAGAATCGTCGATTGACCTTATTAATTTCCTCAACAACACTGGTTGGTAGTCGAGATGTTAACATAGTATAGGTGGGAATAGCAGAGGTAACAGGGCAGATAAGAACAAATCTTCCAACACCCGTGAGCATTTTAGATTTTCAGCTGCTTAATCTCATATTCACTTTATTGACAATATCACTATAGTTAGTTTTGGACACCTGCCCATGAAAGAGAGGGACCCCGAGATACTTTCCCAAGTCTGAAGACGACATGTTCATGACTTGCTCAAAACTTCGTCCAATGCCCGATCTAGCTGCCAGAGATATGCAATATTTGGATTTATCATAACTAACTCTAGCACCTGATACAAAACAGAACTGGTCAAGAATACATTTAAAAATATTTGCTTGTTGAACATTAGCTCTACCGAATAAGAAGAGATCATCGGTAAAAAAAAAAGGGGATATTTGAGGCTGGTTCTGGTCCTTCTATATGTAGCGAAGGAGAAGATGTGGAATCTCCATATTATCGACCTCTTCAAAATTGTATAGGTGGAACAAATAGCCGCCGATGGATTCCTATTGAGGAGAGGGTAGCATGGCCTTCTAGATCTAATTTGAACAAGAATGAACTAGCACTATATGGTAATTTGATTTTGCAAGGTTATGTTATATGTAGATTCCATCTAGCAATGACGACAGAAATTTCTGACTGCCACTTTGATTTATATGTTTTATCAGGTCTACACCCACAAGAACTCATTGAGGACACTGCACATTATAAAACAGCTATTCGTAGTTATTGGTCTCTTCTGTCACCCCTGATATTCTCAGATCATCCAAAGAGACCAGGTGACGAGGATCCTTCTCCACCTTATAACATGCTCAGGAATGTGCTAGACATGAATGCTTGCTATGGTGGTTTTACTGCTGCATTACTGGAAGCAGGGAAGTCTGCCTGGGTCATGAACGTAGTTCCAACAAGTGGACCAAACTACCTTCCCCTGATTCTTGATAGGGGCTATATTGGTGTATTACACAATTGGTGATTCTCTCCTCTAGCTATAACTTTTTTTCTTTGCTGCGATGTTGTTCAACATGTTCTTTATGTGAAGCTGGAATATGAGCCGCCGTCTTATGGAAGTATCTTCATATGAAGCTTGCTATGAGCTGTCTTATAGTTTGGTCTCCTCAGTAATCAGCTTTTAGCTCAGAGTAAACTAAAAGAATTCAACAAATGAAAAATGTATTTATATATTAAGACTTGAAGCAAACTCTCTAGACGATAACTATTTTGTTTAATGTCTGATGTCTTTACTGAAACTCGAGTTTGAAGTTAGAACATCCTAGTAATCGATTAGGTTCATAATTGATTAGCCCACGCATGCTATGATACTTTTTTGTGCGACGTATACTTTTACCTTTTCTGTTTGTGTTTTGTATGTCTTATAATCCATCTGCGTCAATTTTAGGTGTGAAGCATTTCCAACATATCCTAGAACTTATGATATGGTGCATGCGGACGGACTTCTATCCCTTGAGACTAGTCAACATCGCAGGTGCACCATGCTTGATCTTTTCTCTGAGATAGACAGGTTGCTTCGTCCAGAGGTACTGAACCAAAGCTATCATTTATTTAATCAGGCTACATTTCCGTTCCCTTTGTGTTTACCTCCTACCATTTCTGTATTCCTGATCAGTGGATTAAGTTTGCCGCTTAATGTGTTGTTACATGCTACACATTTCTTGTCATTATAGCCAATAATCTACACAGAGTAAAAAATAGGGAAGCAGTTATTTATTCGGTTTACACTGCAACTGTAGATTATTTGAGAAGTTTTGTTGCTAGACTTTCAGGGTTTGATGTTACTTGTCTCTTGTCGAGAGATTTGAATGCATGTAGGAACATTTGTGTCGGTGACAATGATTGCATGGGAGGTTAAGATCAACTAAGAGGTCATTTTGACTAGAGAATCGAATGCATTCAGCAGTCTCGTGTTGCTCTTCTTTCATACTCGGATATTTAATTAATTATACTGCAGCAGATAATCTCATCATAGTTAGGGATACATTTTGGTCTTATATTTAATAAAAATGAGTGCTTGACGTGTTCTGGAAACATGATCCACACTTTTGCACCGTGCAAACAGCTATGTATATATTAAACTTATCAACTCTGAATGGACCTTTTGAATGCTACCGGTTTTTTCTGCTATGTTTTAATGCATTGGTGGATGCAGGGTTGGGTAATAATTCACGATACGGCTCCTCTTATCGAAAAAGCTAGAGTTCTAACAGTGCAGTTGAAGTGGGAAACCTGATCTTTGGGCTTGTTTAAAATCGCACACTTTCTACACCGAGAAGATTTACTCAAAAAAAAAAAAAAGTCAAACACACCAATATATATGTTTTCCAATGAGATAAAGTAGTATTTTTTTTATTAAAAACCCATTTTCATTTATTGATAAAATAAAGAAACTGAAAAGTTATAGAAACAATAAGCTTGAACACAACCAAAGAAACAAATTCTAACAGAGCAAAACAAAACAACGTAAACGACAAATCTCCTTGGCATTCAAAGTGTTGCGGAAGACGGCTATCGGATAGAGCAAAATCGCAACTGATAATTTGAGAAAATAAAAATGAAGATAAAAAGAGACACAAAATTTATGTGGAAAACCCCTAAATAATATAGGGTAAAAACCACGGGCAACAGTAGAAGAATTTCACTATGAGAAAATAGGAATTACAACCTCTCTCGATCTACCAAGGAGAAAACAATGATAATTCTCTCTCGATAAAAAGGAGAAAATAACTCTCAAGAAACTCTCTAAATTCTCTCTAGTATTGGAAGAAAACTAGAATGCTTTGGGATGGTTTTGAAGCTAAATCAGCTAGGGTATTTATAGTTGAAACTTAAGGACTAATCTTATAAATACCATAAATTTTAGTGACTAAAGTTTATAATTTACCCATTTAATTTTCAAACATTATTGCACCTAATTTTGACATTATTGCACCTAATTTTGACATTGCAATATTAGGTGCCTAACTTGAACCAATTTTCTGCCGCCCAAGCTTTGACATTTCAACAATCTCCCACTTGAAGATTTGATTGGAACAATCATATCTTCACACCATTCTTTCTACCTTGTACCATCATATTGCTTACGTCTCTGACAGGCCACAAGAGGATCGACACCAGGTAAATTTATCAGCGTTGATCGCCTTCGTCATGAAATCTGCTATGTTGTCTTTGGTATGGATCTTCTGTATATCTACCGTTCCTTCTTCCACCTTTTCACGAATGAAATGGTATTGAACTCGTATGTGCTTAGTCCTTGAATGAAATGCTGGATTCCTTGCTAGATGCAAGGCGCTTTGACTGTCATAAAATAAAGAGACATACTCTTGATTGTGCCCAAGCTCCTCCAATAGCATCTTCAACCAAATTGCTTCTTTACTGGCTTGTGTAGCTGCTATATATTCTGCCTCTGTTGTAGACGTAGCCACAACTGATTGCAATTTTGAAACCCAACTTACAGCTCCACCAGCAACTTTGAACACATATCCTGTAGTAGATTTGCTTTTATCCAAATCCCCTGTATAGTCCGAATCTACATACCCATTAATTAGTAAGTTTGATCTTCCGTAATATAATGCAACATTTGAGGTCCCTTTGATGTATCTTAGGATCCTCTTTACTGTATTCCAATGCTCTTTGCCTGGATTCGCCATGTACCGACTAACCACTCCCACTGCTTGTGCAATGTCTGGTCTTGTGCATATCATAGCGAACATTAAACTTCCCACTGCTGATGCATACGGTACTCGAGACATCTCCATCCTCTCTTCTTCACTACTAGGACTCATACTGGAGGATAATTTGAAGTTAATAGGAAGAGGGGTAGAAATTGGCTTACAATCTTGCATGCTAAATCGTGACAAGATTTTCTTCAAGTAATTCTTTTGTGAAAGCCAAATCTTCCTATTGCTTCTGTCTCGATGAATTTGCATACCTAGAATCTTGTTTGCTGATCCCAAGTCCTTCATTTCAAATTCCCTAGCCAGTTGTGCCTTCAATTCTTCAATATGATCTTTGTTGGGTCATGCAACCAACATGTCATCCACATACAACAGCAATATAACAAAAAATAAGCACAAGGGTCTGCATTAAGTCTGTTGTATCCAAGGCACATAATGAAGGAATCAAATCTCTTATACCAACACCTTGGCGCCTGCTTTAGACCGTACAAAGATTTGTTCAACCTGCAAACCAAGTTCTTTTCTTCTTCTTCAAAACCTTTAGGCTGGAGCATATAAATCTCTTCTTCAAGATTTCCATGAAGAAAAGCTGTTTTAACATCTAACTGCTCTAGATGTAAGTTCAATGTAGCACACATTGCCAAAACTACTCGAACTGTTGTTAGTCGAACCACAGGAGAAAATATTTCATTGAAATCAATACCTTCTTTTTGAGCATATCCTTTGACCACCAGTCTTGCACGATACCTCTCAACTTGATCGTCACCATTTCGCTTGATTTTGAAGACCCATTTGTTACCAATTGGCTTCCTTCCTTGTGGTAGTGGCACAAGGTCTCATGTATTATTTTTATGAAGGGCTTCGATTTCTTCTTGCATCGCCATCATCCACAGTGAAACATCTGAGCTGTTTATTGCCTCATGGTATGTTGATGGCTCATCGTCCTCTGTTAAAAGGCAGTATGCAATATTACCTTCTATAACATAATCTGAGTGCCAATTGGAACTTCTTCTCACACGATCTGATTGACGAGTTGTTGGAGCTTCAGAATTCTCTGGTTCTTGTTCATCATGTGCTGGTTCTACTTCAGAAGAATCTCCTTCTTCAAACTCTTTTTCCACATGTATCTGAGTAGTCTCTGACTTTTCAACGCTATCATCGTCTTCTTTTCTTTGTAGTTTATCTTCTACAAAGATAACATCTCTACTAATGATCACTTTGCAGGCAGTAGGATCCCACAAGCGATACCCCTTTACTCCATCAGCATACCCCAAGAATTTGCATTTCCTGGATTTTGGATCCAACTTTGAAATTTATTGGGCGTTGTACATCACGTACACAATACTTCCAAATACATGGAGGTTTGAATAACCAACTGGTTTAGCAGTCCACATCTCCATTGGTGTCTTCAGCTCTATTGCAGTTGATGGAGCTCGATTCACCAAATAACAGGCGGTATTGACTGCTTCTGCCCAGAATGATTTTTCTAGGCCTGCATCCCTCAACATTGCTCTTGTTCTTTCTAACAAGGTTCTGTTCATCCGCTATGCCACTCCATTTTGTTGAGGAGTGTTCGCCACTGTGAACTGTCTTTTGATGTCTTCTTTCCTGCAAAAGTCATCAAATTCTTCACTTGTGTATTCTCCTCCATTATTTGCTCTGAAACACTTGATTTTATTTCCAGAATCAAGTTCCACCCGCGCTTTGAAGTTTTTGAAATTTGAAAACACATCGGACTTCTTCTTAATAGGGTACACCCAACATCTCCTGGAGTAGTCATCAATAAATGAGACAAAATATTTTGCTCCGCCTAGGGATGTAACTGGTGCTTGCCATACGTCAGAGTGAACCAGTTCTAGAACACTTTTGCCTCTAGAATTTGATGTGTTAAATTTCAACTGGTGCTGCTTACTTGTTATGCAATGCTCACATAAAGTAAATGATACCTTTGTTAAGCCTGGAAATAGCTTTTGCTCCATAAGGACTTTCATTTCTTGTTCTGACATGTGTCCAAGTTTCTTATGCCATAGCATTGCAGAATCTGAACTACATGAGGCAACAGAGGCTTCTGCTTCTAGCAATGTCTCTCCCTTCAGCATGTACAAGTTTGCAGCTATCTTTTCACCTTTCAGCACCACAAGCGCTCCACGGAACACCTTTATGATTCCTTTTCGTGTTTCAATCTTGCTAGCATTATTATCCAACAATCCGTAGGATAATAAATTTTTCTTCAGACCTTTCATGTGCCGTACATCTCGAACAACTTTAATTGTTCCATCATACATCTTCAATTTGATGGTTCCCACGCCAACGATCTCTAAGGCATGATCATTGCAACTATACACAGATCCTCCTAAGACAGGTTCATAATGATGGAACCATTCTCTTCTTGAGGTCATGTGATATGTTGCTCCCGAATCAATGAGCCATATATCTGCAAATCATTTTCTCCCTTCCACGGTGGTTGACGCTTCACAGCATAGAGCATCTCCATCATCTGAAGTGTTTGCGATATTGCCTTGTGGATTGGAGTTTTTATTTAGACTCCAATAATCCTTCTTCAAGTGACCCTTATTTCCACAGTTGTAACACTTTAAATTCTTCTTGCTTCTCGACTTCGATCTACCATGTTTGTGACTGATGCTTTGGCCACGTTCTATTGATCTCCCTCTCATCGTTGTCATCGTTGTCAACGCTTCTGCTTGTTGCAGATTTACTTGTCTGTCTTCCTTGTTCTTGCGCCGATTTTCTTCTTGTAGAACAGCAGCTGCAACGTCATCAAAGACTAGACTGGTGACATTACTGTTTGTCAAGTTGATGATGAGTTGATCATATGAATCCGGTAGACTTTGAAGTAGAAGTTCAACACATTCTTGTTCTCTTATTTTACAGCTTAAGGATGTAAGCTGAGAAAATAAGGTGTTCAGTGTATTTAAGTGCTCTGTCACTGAAGTAGATTCTGACATACGGAGAGTGTACAATTTCTTCTTAAGGAAAATTTTATTGTGCAGCGATGTGACCTCGTACAATTTGGTAAGATGATCCCATATCTCCTTAGCTGTCTTCTTCTCCTCGATGCTTGACAATACTTCATCTGCTAATACTATATGAAAGTTTGCCATAGTATTCCCGTCCATCTCGTTCCATTTGATGTCATCTGCGAAATCCACCGGTCTTTCATTGATAGCCGCTAGACACCCGTCTTTCTTTAGGATGACATTCATCTTCAATTTCCACAATGAGAAATTTCTCCCATTGAACTTTTCAATATCAAATTTCGTTGTTATTGCTTCGTTTACGGATAGCTCCTACTATTTCACTATCGTGAATAGTTCTCTGGAACCTTCAAAGAATGGGTAATAACTTCTTACTTTCTTATGTTGGAAGATCCACCTTTTGGTGGCAACCACAAAGACAATAAGCAGATATTACACACTCTAATCTAGCTCTGATACCAATTGTTGCGGAAGACGGCTATCGGATAGAGCAAAATCGTAACTGATAATTTGAGAAAATAAAAATGAAGATAAAAAGAGACACAAAATTTACGTGGAAAACCCCTAA